GTTGAAAAATCGAAAAATCGTGAAATCGAGAAATTGAGAAATCGAAAAATCGAGAAATCGAAAAATCTAAAAATAAAAAATAGAAAAATCCAAAAAACGAAAAATCCAAAAAACGAAAAATCGAAAAAACCAAATATCGAAAAAGAGGCAATGAATAGTGACATTTCACATTTGAAAATATGACATTACGTTTAAAAACAAAAAAAGAAAAGCTGTAAATTGCGTTTAATTTTTAAACTAACACCGTTATTGAAAACTGCCCAGAAATGTTGGGGGTAAAATTTTGACGTACTTCTTTAAGGATAATGGGTAAAAATGTTTTTTTTCAAATTTCTCGCGGGTAATGTCAAAAATTAGATCGGCAACACTGCACATGTCCCTTATTTTTATTATTACTATTGAAAAAAAAAAAAAAACGTCGTAGGGCAATCAAATACAACAATTTTCTAAAATATTTGATTGTAAGTACCTACACAAGAATGATGGTGAATCATTTTTCAACACAATTTTATAAATAATCAAGTCAAAATTAGAAAAAATCTTGTATATAAACACGTTAAGTTTAAATTACTAAATGGAGTTTAAAATGACATTTTTACATTAACAATGTCATTTTAATATTCGTTTAATAATTTAAACTTCGTTTAACACAACGGTGGAATCGCCCCTTAGCTAGTTATATATTGATAAAGTGTTATTGCCCTCGTCATACATGAATCGTGCTAACAAATAAAGTCAAACAAACGTCTCATAATTTTTCATCTTTTAATTACCCACCAAAATTAGGTACTACAATACAAATATTTAAGTCCGGCCCAGAACATCTCCCTACTCCTTCCACCCAGTTTTTCGGTTTTGGCAAAATTCGCGCAGCGAGAAATGCTTCCTATGTTACCTCTACCCTTTCTAACCTCTTTGGTCTGTACTTACTTATGATATTATCTTGAAGAAGCATTTTCAACAGGCCTTTTACACATAACGCATGTTTTTACCATATTATTAGAGATAATAAATCTTAAATATACATTTACAACCCTTACAACGTTATAAATAATATTTTCCGTAAAATACAAATAAGCAAATTGACATGTATTTGAAAGTGTCAGAACTGGCGCTCAAAGAACACTTCTGGCGCTGTCAAACTTGGCAACGCTGATTAAATAAGCCAATTACAGAAGAGGTATTTTCCCCCTCGGGGGGAGTAGATGTTGCTAACAAAATTTAGCGCGGGGAAGGGGGGAAGACTCCCTCTAGTAGTAATTGCTCGGAGGGCGAATCGGCATACTCGAAATACGGTCCCAAAAACGAAACGCTAATTGAGCTTTTTTAATTTACCGCAAGGGCACTGGTGCTAGTAGTGCTGTTCAAAATACATGGCTTCCTATGGGAATTTTACATAATTTTGTCAAAATAAAAATAAACTTGTTTATTGCCAAATAAAGCACAGAATATACTGTTGTTATTATTTCTAAATAAGTGTCGCGCAAAGACAACCCTGTGCTTTGTTTATTACCGAACCGTGGCAGGAAGTCTAGCGCTGGCTATACCGAGACAAACGTACTGCTTCTCGAAGCTGCCGGAGTGATCGCTTTGCGACGTATGAGTCATAGTGAGGAAGTTTTTTGAATATTCTAGGTCGCCTAGTGTTCTGGTACAGAGCTGGCTTTATATAAATAGCGCGAGTATTTTACTTACATTAGAAGCTTTAAAAAGACATTGACTTCTCCTTGTGTTTTCTTAGTATTACATCTGATTTGTATCCTGTTTTACAATCCGGAACGAAGTAAATCTTGCTTTGATGGTTTTTGTCACTCATGTTACTTGTACACAGGTACCTTTTTTCACATTATTTTGATACTTTACCAATTAAAAAAAAAAATTATTTTACATTGGCTTACATAGAAAATTGACAGCATTACTGTTCGACATGCCAACTACAGTCAATTTCGCGAACTTTATAAATAGAAGGACGGAAATTTGAAATTTGACCATTGCCGATTCGCCTCCTCTTAGTCTAAGATCCGAAGTAAGGTCGATTTCACCCATCTGTTTAATGGATGAAAGTTTCTTTTTATTAAATAAAATATTTTTATAAATATAGCGCAGAAGGTTTCCCTAAGAAAATACAGTCCAGACTATTTATTTTCTTAAAATAAAAAAAACGACACCCTGTAAAATATTCCCCAGATGCTTCGACAATGCCTAAACTTTAATCAGCTTACCGCAGTAAAATTTGGTGTGTTTCTCTTTATCGGTTTTTTGGTTGTCTTCAAAATTCAAAATTTGCAGTTTTCCTCAAATATCTCGAATTAGGTCCATTTTAGAGAAATTATGTATAGGGACAAAATAATAGAGAATGGCATCATAAACAACTTTTAACATGATTCCTATACTTTCCTTATCTGTACACAGAAAGAAAAGCAAAAAATAGCCCTGACCGTATTTTCTTAGGCAACCCATTTGCGTTATATTTAAAAACATATTTTGTTTTAATAAAAAAAAACTTTTATCCATTAAACAGATGGTTGAAGGTCGACCTTACTTACGGATCCTGGACTTCATAAGTTCATAAATTAATTGGCGCTGCTGTTACGCACGGGATCACATACTTTGATTTTCTTTTACTATACGGAGAATGGTCGCACTGCGTAGCTTTCTGAGTGCCTTTTAAAAGAAGATAGAAAACTCCGCCATTTTGAACCCTTATTACGTGTTGCCTACATCTTGGCGCAATATTTTTAATAGGTGCGTTTTAATCATCCGCTTCTGCTTCGGAATTGTCAGTTTTCTTGTTTTAATCTGACAGGTTAAAATGACTAAACCGACAATTCCGGAAGCAGAAGCGGATGATTAGAACGCACCTGATATTTTGCTTGCTGCTTTCTGGGGACCTATTTTCAAAGTATGTGAGCACTCATTTCTCTCAAGATTCTCATCAGAAATGTCATACGTCAATGTGGAAACGCTGTATTTAAAGGAATCGAGGATTAAAATTCTTAGGAGAATTTTAATTATCTCTAAATAAACCGAGAGAAACAGTCAGTGAGTTCACACTGGCCCTAAGAGCCCTAAAAATACTGTTTTACGTTGACGTATGACATTTCTCTTGATGGAAATGAATTCTCTCGAGTTTGAAAATAGCCCCCCAGTGCCAGTGAATATTATTTTTGAAGTCACAGTTTATTGCTAAAGAATCAGTTAGCTCACTCGGACCAGTTGAAAGTTCCAAAATAACATCCACTCCAGGGATACAAATTCAGGATACGCAGCAGACTGCTGTTTTATTATAGGCGGTTGTCATATATTGTATTATCTGAGTTGCGCAGTGTATAAACTGGAACATTGAGATAAAAAGTGCCGACGCAGAGTGAGCGATCTGATTCTTTAGCTATAAACTGTGTCATAGGGTTCAAAATGGCCGCGCCCTATGTTGGGCGTGTCGGACCTCTCTCTTGCCCCGTATAGTAATCAAAGTATGTGACTGACACTGACAGCAGCAAGCAAAATATCAGGTGCGTTTTAATCATCCGCTTCTGCTTCCGGAATTGTCGGTTTAGACGTTTTAACCTGTCAGATTAAAACAAGAAAACTGACAATTCCGAAGCAGAAGCGGATGATTAAAACGCACCTATTAAAAATATTGCGCCAAGATGTAGGCAACACGTAATAAGGGTTCAAAATGGCGGAGTTTTCTATCTCCTTTTAAAAGGCACTCAGAAAGCTGCGCAGTGCGACCATTCTCCGTATAGTAAAAGAAAATCAAAGTATGTGACCAAAAGTGAATTATGATATTGGTGATATACTGGTTGCATATTATCAGGTTCATTCCACACTCAGGCATTCCAACGAGCTGTCAAACAATAGCTTCCAGTGGGATGGTCTGGTATATCTGAGGGGGTAGCTATATAGGCTTGTATCTTGGACGCTTTGTTTTTATTGGAAATGGTACTCGCCAAGCCTGCCAATTTATGACAAAATGTATAAGCGGTTTTTTTAAATAATATTTTTATCGTGTTTGACATAAAATATTTAAATGTAATCCATTATTCATGATTTTACGTATTGTAGACAGAATACATCGTATGCCGCAACCCTTAGATATAACAAATCTTCCCACTAGCAGTTCATTTGTTTGGAAAGACTAATTAATTTTTGAAGGTTTAAAAAGTCTTTTCAGTCGTCAGTGAGGTTTACGTCAAAAATGTATTTTTCACGTCAGTTTTTTAATAAAATACGAATAAAAGGGAGTTATAGAGAATTATCATTTTTAAAAGAACTACAACTTACCCAACAAGAAGCCCACGCATCCTCTAAAGTAAAGTATACAACATTTTATATTAAATACTTTAATTTTATAGGCAAAACTAAACAATCTTCAGTGTCAATATAATTTAGTAAAGTGCAAAATATATAAGGCAGGTATTGAATATATTGAAGACATAAGTGGGTGCGACGAAACATTTTTTCAAAAAATTATTTTTATGGTAGAATATACTTAAAATTTACTATATTTTTTGTTTGTGATAGTTCTGCTTTCCAATTTTGATAAATAATGGCTATTCATCAGATAAGAAGGTATCATGAGCCATATATCATAATGCAATTGTAAAACTTTAAACTTGTTTTTCTCGAAATAAACTTTTTGTGACTCCTTTATCCACTTGTGTCTTCTATTATATTTTATGTTTTGCTTACAAATATGTATGCTACACAAAAATGTACTGTTTTTTTAGTTTAAAATGTAAACTTTTTTATAACAAATTATCTATTAAATAAATGAAAATAACACAAAAAAAATAAATATATTTAAACAAATAAAATAGTGACAACCATCACCAGTTATAATTTATAGTTGCGAGTAATCAACTAAAATCTAAATGAGGTGATCGATAACAGCGCGGGAATATCGAATTTGAATCACTAAAAAAGTTGGTGACTTCAGTTTTAATACATTGGCATCCCTAAATTCCCAATGTCAATCTCGATCAGCTGATAGCTGTTATTTTTCTGTCAAAAGTCAGTCACTGCCACTGTCATTTTTTATATCATTTCCAAATTTTTTTATCTTTGCGGCGAGAGGGACAGGGGAAAATAACAAAATAAAACGGTCAAAGCATGGCTCTTTCAAGACTTTCTAATCAGATACGCTTGCGAGCTGGTGCCGCAACAATATTCAGGATCTATAAAGAATCTTTTACTCCTCAAATTGCGAATATGGTATGTGTTATGTCATAGTTCTATAATCATATACGTTTGTAAATGTCACTTTGACATTTTATTAATGGATTTGGATTGTGATAAAAGTACAAGTTGTAGCCTTTGTTGTCCTAATACTAGTTCGCTTGATCCGCAGGCTGATTTTCGAATTGAGAAAGATACCTTTGGAGAATTGAAGGTACCTTCCGACAGGTACTATGGAGCCCAGACAGTTAGGTCTACTATCAATTTTCCCATTGGAGGAGAGTTTGAAAGAATGCCCGTAAGTTTTTTTTAATAACTTTGAAACCTTTTTTGGTAAATGTCTAGTTTGAGCTCTTTTTTGATTACGAAAAAACTAAGTATAGCTACTGGTAGGTATTGCTATTGTAAACAAAAATCCTAAGTTCCATATCTTGTGCAAATGAATAATAAGGACACAAATAGGGTTGCCAACTGTCCTGCATTTCGTTGGACCTTATATTTGCAAAGAATTTTATAATTTTGTAAAAGATAACAAGAAATTAATAGTAGCTGCAAAAAGTGAAAAAAAAAATATGATTTTAAACGCAGCGACACTGTTAAGTAGTTGCAACTTTTCATGTTCTATTTAAACAAAATGTTCAATCATTAGTTCCTATTTACCCAAAGAATTCTTTTTTATCACTTCGTTTTTTTTGTCGAATTGTTTATTTAAGTTGCAATTATAAAAATGTCCAAAAATTAAACAACCCTAGACACAAATAATTTTTTTAAAATAAAAATATGCCATTTTTTCCATTAATTTTATCAATTTTACAGGAAAGAGAGTGAACAGATGTGCTGGGTGGAAAAAACAAAGTCAATAGTTATAATATAAAATATTGTTAGGGCAAGGAACTGAATTGCTGTACTTTTGATAATAAATAATTGGATAGTAAACTTTTTGTGTGACTTGGCAACAGTGTAAGACAAATCTTTGATTTGAGACAATTTAATTCTGTCGTTATTATTAATTTGCATAATATATGAAACTAAGATTTTTTGTTTACAATAATGTTACCTACAAGTACATATGTTTATTTTTATTCATGAGCGAAAAGAGCTCAAACTAGACAATGACCCTTTTTTATATAATTTCTACTTAATTTACAAATATGTAACTAATTGCATTTTTTATAAAATAAACCCAAATAGCTTTAAAAAGAAATGAATAAACATTCAAAAAATATTTTATTTACAACCATATATGTAATGTTGTCATTACTAACGTCATTGAAGGTTGGTAAGTGTCACCTTATACACCTCTACTTCCCGCCCTCATTTCATCTATTCTAGATGAATATTTTTTATATTTAAAAAAAATAACACATTTTTTTGACAAATTTTATAATACCTATTTAATGGCAAACAATAAAAAACAACAATGAACTAAAATACAACAAACTACTTATTGATATTTATTATTCGCGAATTTAATATCTGGCTTTATCTGACATTTATTTATATTGATGACAGTTGTTTACCCCTATCACAGTAACAATATATTTACTTGATTATTCTGAGAAAACCGTGCGCTTGGTAATTTGTTGTTAAATGTAATATTTTAGGTATGTTCAGAATGAAACAGAGATTTATTAACTTTGATCGAAATATGATGGTTGTAAATAAAATAGTATACAAACCTCGGTAGGAAGTTTCATTCCTGTCTCGAGATCATAGCTAACCTCGACGCTTCCAACTAATCTCACGACAGGAATGAAACTCTTCCCACCTCGGTGTTTAATATACTATTAAACATTTATCAAAGGTAGGTAATAACGAAAAATAATATTGCTGCTGCAGAGCAAACAGGGGTCAAGAGCCAAATACAAAATTGTTCAGGACACCAAGAAAACTGCATTTTTGAACCTTTTTGCACTCATTCTTATATAAATGTTGGCGCTTGTACTCTCGGCTATCTTATTAATACGACACTTGTCGCTTGTCACCTTTTTACATAACGTTAGTTAGGGTTCGAGGATGTGGTTATGGCAGATATCTCAAAAATGGCTCAGTTGTTGCTTGGTCCCTTTTTGTTCTACACCAGCAATATATTGTCATTTGTAACAAAAAAAGGCACTTTAACATTAACTTTAATAATAAATGTGGATAATGATAATACTAGCAATGACTTATTGTCAGCGGTAAAAAAAAATAAAATATTGTAACACTAGGTTTTCACGAGAAAACAATGCATCACACTTTGAAACATAGTTCTGACTTAATTATATGACACTAACAGACAAAGCGTCTCATCCTAAAAAGGAAGAGAGGATTTCCAACCACAGAAAAAAGGCTACAATAATTCAATAGTAAATTTTCCTTCACATTTATTTTTTTAAGCAGTAGGTTGGTGCCAAATTATGTAGAATTTTATATATAAAGACCATTGTTAAATAGAACAACCTTTAAGAAACTAAGAACCACTGCAAAGACTGAATCATATTTGTAGGGATAGAACGATACCGATATATCGGCAGTTGTTGCCGATTATCGGTATCGTATCGGCAAAAATTTTTTGCGCTTTTCAGTCTTTTCAGTGCATAAATGAAATACTTTATTAAACAAACTAAATTTTTTTATTCCAAAGGTAACATTTTTATTAAAAAAAGTAAAACAAATCCTAACACTACTAACAACAAATATACCTAATGTAGCAGAGGTACTAAATACACTATATAATTAATACTTAAAATTTAATTTATTGATATTATGATGCAAAAACACCAACATTTCAGCCCTATCTGCATTTTTAGTCTATTTCTTTTAGGCTTGTAAATATTACCTAATTCACTTAACACACTGTCAGCGGGTGCTGAAAGGTAGACTGAAGCTGCGTTGTACAAACTAGGAAACTTTTTTTTCTGCCTCCCACTACTCAAAAGGAAATTTATCTTTTAATAGAGTTGAAGGTACCAAATATAATATTATTTCATTTTCACAACCTTGCTTCATGAATTTTGTAGTGCTGGTCTCGGAAGCCAAAGTAGAGGCAATGCTGTCAAAAGTTTCCCAAAATGTATTTTGTTTATTTTGCAAATGGCATAAGGGAATATTATCTTCATCTTCCAAAGATTCTGAATCCACTTCACCTACTGTATATTGTTTGTTCTTTAGTATCTTTTGGGAAAAAATGCATTTTAAACCTAGGGTCTAACAATGTGGCAACATACAGATTATCTTGTAATTATATATCACCAAGTCGTCTCTCTAAACTTGTTAGTAGTTCGTTCTTTATTGTACCTACACCAGCAAAGTTTGGTCCCTCTTTGGATAAATATTCTGTTAAGGTTACGACTAATGGAATCACTTCAGAAATGCAATATTGTTCTTTACTTGCGATTTTTGTAATTTCTTCAAATGACCTTAAAATATTGAAGAATCTTTTTACCAATTCCCAATCAGAGTAAGTTAGGTTGGTGAGACGATCATTGTTGGAAATATATAAGCTGATTGCTTCTTTTTGTTCCAATATACGCTCAAGCATATAGTAAGAAGAATTCCAACGCGCCTGAATATCGCGAATTAACTTCTTTTTTTTTTAATTTAACTGTTTTTGAAATTGTTCAAGTTTATCACATGTCAATTGAGACTGACTGTAATATCCGACGATTTTCAGAGATTTTGCAATTACGTCATTAATAGCTCTTTGACTGTTGATGCCATCATGAATAATTAGTTGAAGTGTATGAACAAAACATGGTTCGTAGTTTATATTGACTTCTTGCATTGCTTTCTTCATGTTGCCTGGGTTATCAGCAATTACGACATGAACATCATTTATAGCCAGATTCCAACCAGCATTTCTGTTAAACACCTGGCAATGGTTTCACCACTATGAGTTCCTGGAAAACATTCTGTGTTTAAAACATAGGAGCATCGCGTTGCATTGCTGATCCAATGTCCAGTTAGAGAGATACATGCTTTATTACTGTTACTGGTCCATATGTCAGTAGTAAATGCTATTTTTCCAGATCTTGCTTCAATATTCTTTTGCAGAGTCCCTTTACATTGTTCGTAAATATTAGGTAAAAGTTTCTTTAAAGTAGTTTTCTGAAGACATTTTATGCTTAGGAACACCTTTTGCAATGAGGTGGTTAAAACCCATATCAGTAACAATTGAAAAAGGGCTGGTTATCAACTGCAATCATTTCTCCAATTAGTTTGTGATACTGGTTTGCTTTATTGCTATTTATGTCCTATACATTTTTTGATACAAAATATTTCACAATATCAGAATGAGTATAATTGCTCTTTGGTACTGTCAAATTCTGTGTAGATTCGTTGGCCCTCTCAACATCTGGAAATAAAGAACAAAAGAATTATGTACGCTTCACAATGATTACCAAATAATAAAAGATTGTCAATATTCAATCCAAGATATTTTATTGACGGTTACAATTTCTATTTTTTCATTATTTATTTTAAGGTTAATTTCAGTATTTATTTAGACAATTGTTCTGGTATTTCGTCGTTATCATAGCTTTGATTTTTAGCATATTTAACTTTAATTTATTTAATTTCAAGTATTTATATATTGCAGAAAGATCAAAATACATTTTCTTTATAGTATTCCATATGTCTTCATCAAAACAAGCTAATAAAGTATTGTCTGCAAATATATTAAGAAAATCAACAAAGACTCAAGTCATTTAAATCCAGTATGAAGATGAGGGGGGTCCTAACACACAACCCTGGGGTACACCTACATGGATATTTATTACATTTGAGATGATATCGCAGATTTTGACTTTTTGTTTTCTATCCATTAGGTAGTGAGATAACCATTTGTACACCTCACCCTCAATATCATGCCCCTTTAATTTTCTTAAGAGAATGTTTCGATCTATGGTTTCGAAAGCCCTTTTTAGATCCAAGAACACAGCTACTGCATATTAATGTGTCCAGTCTAAAGTGAAATTGTATCAGTTTGTACACAATACACTTATTATCTTGTGTATATTAGCTCTATCCTGATCACATGATATAACATTGAGTAGATTACTAAACTGAAACATCTGCATAGGTAAATCTAAGTAAAGATACATTTTCAATGATAAAAAACTGTTAACATTACTTCAGTATAATGTGATTTTGCAAGCATGTTAATGTGTTGGTTACTAATGAGATTAAATAATGTTAATTTTAATAGCCATTAAATACTTTGCCGGAGTCATAAGTGGCTGCAAATTCAGCTTTAGATTTTAAATATTGAAATGAAAATTATATCAAACAATTCATTAATTTCGTTTTTTGCTATTT